CAGAGACAAGCACTATCTTTTCGCAGCCTCCGCTCATTTCATTCAAACGCGACAAAAACATAGGCAATTTTTTGGTCAGAAGTTCTTTTCAGACTAATGACCAACCAGGCACTTTTAAATGCGCTCGTGCACGATGCAAAACGTGTCCTTTCATTCACAACACTGATAAAATATCGGGACCTAAACGATCCATTAAGATCACCGATCACTTCACGTGCACCTCCGCCAATGTAATCTATTGCATAACTTGCACTTATTGCAAAAAGATATACATCGGCGAAACAGGCAGAAGACTAGGTGACCGATTCCGAGAACACCTTCGAGACGTGGAAAGGAATGACAAGGACACATCGAAACCAGTCGCTAGACATTTTAATTTACCTAATCATTCTAAGCAACATATGGCAATCTGCGGTCTTTCCTTGCACTTAGGTGGCACGGAAAGCCGTAAAAATCTTGAACAAAAGCTCATCTTTCAAACCGGCAGTCTAAATCCCACAGGGATCAATGAACGCTTTTCATTCCACTAATTTATTCATGTTTTTCTCGTTGCCATGCACCCACCAATAACGTAGCTCCATTTTCTGCCTTTAAAAGCACACACAACCCACAATTCCTCTATTCGCTCCGACGAAGGGCTAACGCTCGAAACGTCAGCTTTTGTAATCATTACGGTGGCCAATTTACCATTTCAACTTTGTTGATATATCCAAATTATAATGTTTATGAAATACTGGTGTTTAGACCATGGCAAGTTATACAACAAATTGGAACTATGACGGCGTATGGTATTTCGAGGACTGGACTGGACTAGTAAAACGTGGACTAGTAAAACGCGGACTAGTAAAACGCGGACTAGTAACAAGCGGACTGGTAAAACGCGGACTAGTAAAGCGCGGACTGGTAAAACGCGGACTTGACAACAACAACAACAAAACACTTTCATACAAAGGCGATCATAAGACTTAATGGCGAGCCAATTTTAAAAATTTTGTCCATTTAATGTTATGCCAATGCATTTCGTCGGTTTAGTGAGTGACAATCCCTGTTTGACCTTTCAGCTACAAATGGGTTTGACACGGCGCCAGATACAAACGATTTTATAAGTTTAGGCTAAGAAAGAATTTTATTCAGCACCAGTTCAAAATCCTAAAATACACTTTCGTCGTAAATTTCACAGCAGAAACGCAGGAATTCGATAAAAAAAAAAGTCGTATTAAATCTCCTTGTGTCTTATAGAATAAAAACCATCACATTTAAAACCATGACAAGACGAATAATTTTTTGACCACTCATACTCAAGCAGATTAAAACACAAATTTGTGCTTCTAGTACATGTAGCTGAAGAAATCTAACATGGATACTTAACATCTGAAACCTAAGATTCTTGGGGTATTTGTAAAAAGACTGATCCAAATTTTAAGAAACATTAATAGTAGCAGTTATAAATGTACACAACAGTAATGGAACATTCCTCACCCTTCATAGCTAAATTATCATCAGAGCAGCGAATGTGATTATCAATAAGCCATTTCAGACCAGGTGACCAATCTATGATGTATGAAGCTAAAGAGGTCTATTGCTCGCATGTCTGCTTAATTTCAATTACATGAGTCTGTAGTTGGTATTGTTGTCTTTTTTGGATATAATATTTACCAATAATTTTCTTCTCATATTTCTTAAAAGGGCAAATTACAAAAACATATAATCAAAAGACAGTGAACAAAGAAACTAAGCTTATCACAGAAGATACTTATAACTAGTGGGTAGATATACACTTTTACTAATTCTTTGCAATTTCCTTGACTTTCGACATTTTTACCGTAAGTATACCACATAAATATTTGATGAGTGAAAGTCGTATTAAATCCCTTTGAGCAGCTAGAATATGCGTCTCATTTCACTTCACTTTTTCAAGTTCGGTGGAAGCAATTAAGACAAGATTTACACATGAAATTGCAGCAATGAGACAAGCAGACACAACTTCAAAACATATATTTTGAATTTACTACAAATTTTGACTTTCCTTGATAAGTAAAACTGGACAGTGGTAAATTTTCGAAGTTTAATGTTCGTTGAATTGGAAATAAATAATACTTACCATAAAGTGAGTGAAGAAGGAAAAGTATCATATAGTCATTTAATTCGAGTTTGCTTGGAAGCCTTTTATATCACTCTCATCATTGTGCAAATAATATGCTTTGGTGGAACCTCTCTTTGAAATTTGCATTACCTCTGTTTTCTCTCTCATCAACTTGCTCAATTGCAAAATAATCGTTCCGCTTTTATACGGTAATTATTTTGTTTATGAAGGATCTTGCAATAATCACAGCCCCAAATCATCAGGGTTCATTTGGAAAACATTTCTTTAAGTTTTGGAAAAAAGATTAAAATGTCATTCACCAGCTTAGTCTGAAGTCTGAATTCCCTTCTCGGCTTTCGTAGAATCCAGATGAACAGAAACTCGATTCAATATTCCCCAAAATTGTCCAATTTTGAGTCTTCGTGACGTTCAAAACCTATCGGAAAAGCCCGCATATGTTCGGGAGTTAGTAATGTTCGATACCGTTCGGGGCTCCTCGAACGATCATCGGGAGTTGCCGGAAATTTTCGGAAATTGCGCTCACGAAGAGGCGAAATTCTGACGGATTTGACTCGGTAAAAGTTCGCAGGTGTAACCTTACACTCCATCGCGATGAAATTCCACACCACACGCGCTTACAAATAAAAACAAATCATAACACAGTTTGAATACGCTGATCTATGAACATTTTACGAGGAATATCATGAGCATGCGAATCAAAAGCGAAAGCTGTTGATTGACTTACTCAATGCATTTAATTAGTTTGTGTTTGTCTTTCAGTTTCATTGTGTAATCTGACACGAATAATTGTGATGATAAAATATCACTTAAGTCTGCAAGGGAAAAGTGAACAGAGTTTCCAGAAATCAATACCTTGTCTTGTGTTAAATCGCTGCATGCTTGTACGGAAGTTGCAACTCATTGGGCCTCAAGTCTAAACAGCTGAAATCCTAATCAAAGTCGGCAATGTACGTTTTCACTGATTTAAAAGCATTGATTGCACTTCAGCTTGTTCTGCAGTTTGCCTCTCGCAAAGTGAGTCTTTGTTTAACAGTTTCTTCAGACTTATCACGCGAACGAATGCGCTTTCGAATGGTTTGGTCAAAGTGGAATTCCAAAGCCCCTCCCTGCTGCCTCATCATCGTGCGTTGCTGAAAGAATGGGAAGAGAAAACAAACGGGAGGATTGCGTGACGAGCTGTAACCAGCTATTTTGTGAGAAACTCGACTCTGCAAACCGAGTTTCTGAGGGTATTAGTCATTTATGCATACAAATAATGACTAATTAAATAAAAAAATAATAAATGAATAAATAGGACTGTCAATATCAGCTAGATTGTGCTGATATTTGCCTTCTTTATAATTTTTCAAATGTACCCGTTGACGTTTGGTCTCGTACCCAGATCTTCCACGGCCAAGAGTTGATATCTGGGTGGGTTGGCCAGCCAAGCCACCGTTTATTTAACGCCGAATCGATATTCTAACAGAAGTCTCACATAATTGTGTTACTTTCGTAACTATTTCCTTTTCGTTTTGTTTATATAACTTTATTCATTGGCGATTCTGTACATATTTTTTTGGTTTATTGTTATTCATGCTGAGATTCCTGTGGTCGTGCCGCCTTAAAAAAGATTTTTAATTTGATAATCCTTTACAAAAAAAATTCAGAAAAATGAAATGAGCGGTATTTACAGTTGACTATTACGTTAATCATAGTAACCTTCACTCATTTCAAATATGAATTCTCCAAAATAATTTATTTGTTAATTTG